TTGCCAACTAAAATATTAGAAAAAATGAGCCGGGCATGGTGGCACATGCCTGTAGTCCCAGCTACTCGGGAGGCTGAGGCAGGAGGATCGCTTGAGCCCAGGAGTCTGAGGTTGCTGTGAGCTAGGCTGACGCCACGGCACTCTCTCTAGCCTGGGCAACAAAGCGAGACTCTGTCTCAAAAAAAAAGAGTTTGAGACCAGCCTGAGCAACAGTAAGACCCTGTGTCTAAAAATAGAAAAATTAGCCAGGCATGGTGGTGTGCACCTTAGTCCCAGCTACTCAGGAGGCTGAGGCAGGAGGATCACTTGAGCTACAATGACACCACTGCATTCTAGCAGGGGCAACAGACTGAGACTCTGTCCCCCCCCCAAAAAAAAAGGTGCTGCCAGGTACACTGGCTCATGCCGGTAATCCCAGCACTTTCAGAGGCTGAGGTGGGAGGATCACTTGAGCCCAGGAGTTCAAGACCAGCCTGGGCAACAAAACAAGCCCAATCTCTACAAAAAATTTTTACAACTAGCCAGGCATGCTGGCATGTGCCTGTAGTCCTAGCTATTTGGGAGGCTGAAGCTGGAGGATCACTTGAGCCCAAGAGCTGGAGGCTGCAGTGAGCTATGATAGCGCTACTGCACTCCAGCCTTGGTGACAAGAGACTCTGTCTCTAAAAAATAAATAAGTCCTCATATTTTTAATTTTCATCAATGAACATGAATTATGTAAGTAGTAAGAACAAAAGTTAAGGCCGGGCATGGGGGCTCATGCCTGTAATCCTAGCACTCTGGGAGGCCGAGGTGGGCAGATTACTCGAGGTCAGGAGTTCAAAACCAGCCTGAGTAAGAGCAAGACCCTGTCTCTACTATAAATAAAGAGAAATTAATTGGCCAACTAATATATATATAAAAAATTAGCCGGGCATAGTGGCGCATGCCTGAGTCCAGCCACTTGGGAGGCTGCGCAGCAGGATTGCTTGAGCCCAGGAGTTTGAGGTTGCTGTGAGCCAGGCTGACACCACGGCACTCACTCTAGCCTGGGCAACAAAGCAGACTCCTGTCTAAAAAAAAGAATGAAAGTTAAATGATATATTTTTTAAAAGGATCACACAATAATTGTAAAATATACATTATCTCAAACAAGAAGATTCATGTCACCCAGTATGTTAACAGAGAAGAATTCAATAGTAAGATTAGATAATTGGTCCCAGTCAGGCCATAGCATAACTACTCATTAGGAAGCTAGTCACAGAGATAGTGTCTCCTAGTTACTAAATGGCCATCTTTATGAGAGATGGCATGATGGAACATAAAACAGACCCTTTCACTAGCCAAGCATATATTTTTCCAGATCATGCCTCCTGTGGGCCAAAAAAGAATGCGGATGAGCCTTGAGAGAAACGATGAAAGCACAGTGTTAACAAGCCTACGCCTGGAGCCACTATGTATTCAGATCATAATCCACTACTTTGCTAACTGGGGACACCAGGCAAGCCACCATAGTTTCTTGGGCTTTAACTTCTTCATGTGTAAAATGGGATAGTAACAGTGCCTAACGTCATACAGTTGTACGAAGATTAAATGAATTCATAAATGTAAATGACTTAGAATAGAACCTGGCACAAAGTAAACACTACAAACAGTCATCTGACCCAACTTAAGCCCTGGTTCCACTGATTTTTCCATTAAAAATTTGCAGTTCCTTCCCCCCCCCTGTATTTTCTTCATGCTTCACGGCCACACGAGAGAACAGATTTCCAGGCAAAGAGTACTCGAAACAGCTTGTGGAGCAAAGAATCCTAGGCGAAGATTCTGACATTCCAAACTTCTCGCTGATTTAATTTGCCTCGTTTCAGTCGATTGACCATCCTAGTGAACTCTAGAGAGGAGCTGACTTAAGAGACCATTTGCATTTCTGCCCTACTATAAGTATTGCCATCGGAATATGATCGTCCATATTCTTAATCTAGGATGCTTTTCGTTATGTATACTAATTCATCTCAATGGGATTGGTGGCCTCTTATTTTTCATTATATCTAAACACAGAGGATGGTTAAAGAATGAGCAATGAGATCTTGAAAATCTATAATTGAAATAATTGGTTTTCTCTAGTAACCATTCTTAGGATTCACAAACAACCTGAATCATTCAACCAATAATTGATAATTCAACGTGCTTGTCGATTAAGCGTGCTCTGGATCTCGGTGGGTCTTAAAAATGTTTCGACGACTTTCCTACATCTTTACTCAGCTTATTTAGACACACAGAAGAAATAAGGCGCCTCGGCCTCCCAGAGAGCTAGGATTATAGGCATGAGCCACCGCGCCCGGCCGGCATTAATTCTTTACTCTGTGACCATACTATATTCAGATAAAGAAAAATAAACAACAGAGAACTCATTACCTGGGTTGAATCACTAGTGTATTAGCACACATATTCTTTTCAAAAATAACTTGCAAAGGCTGACTTTCTTGAAAACATACATTATGAGTTCTTTTAATACCTTAAAAAGAATAAAGCAACCTCTTAATAATTTGAAGTGTAAAATGAACAGATTTTGAAAGTCTTAAGTTTCACAGCCAAATTAAAATAATAAACTAAATTTCCTATCTGGCAGGTGCATACAGCTTGGAGAGCATCCTTAATGAAATGTGTGTATCGTCCCCTAGTGGACACCAAGCGACATGTCACACCCTCTGACTAGGCAGTAGAGTTCCAGTTTCCCTTTGAAATACAAGTGGTTTCTATTTTCTTCCTCTCTTTCTTTTCTTTCTTTCTCTCTCATTCCCTCTCTCTTTCTTTTTTTCTGTTAAGAGACATGGTCTCACTCTTGTCTCCCTGGCTGGAGTGCAGTGGAGCAATCATAACTTACTGCAGCCTGAAACTCCTCAGCTCAAGCAATCCTTCTGTCTCAGCCTCCTGAGTAGCTGGGACTACAGGCTTACACCAACAAGCTCAGCTAATTTAAAAAAAAATTTTTAGAGATGGGGTCATGTTATGTTGTCTAGGCTGGTCTCCGAACACCTGGCCTCAAGCAATCCTTCTGCCTCAGCCTCCCGAGTTGCTGGAATTACAGGAGTGAGCCACCATGCCTGGCTCCTTATTTTTAAATTTTTTTATGGATACATGTTATTTGTACATATTTATGAGGCATGTGTAATATTTTGTTACATGTATAGAATGTGTAGTGATCAAGTCAGGGTATTAAGGTATCCATCATCTGGGAGTATTTATCATTTCTATGTGTTGGGAACATTTCAAGTCCCCTCTTCCAGCTACTTTGAAATTTATAATACATTGTTGCGAACTACAGTTACCCTACTCTATGGAACATGAGAATTTATACCTTCCATATAATATTTTGTTTGTACTTATTAACCAACCTCTCTTCATCCCCACTTCCACCCACTTCCCCTTCTCCCAGCCTCTGCTATCTACCATTCTACTCTCTACCTCCATGAGATCAACCCTTTTTTTTTTTTTTGAGACAGAGTCTTGCTCTGTTGTCCAGGCTAGAGTGAGTGCCGTGGCGTCAGCCTCGCTCACAGCAACCTCAAACTCCTGGTCTCCAGCGATCCTACTGCCTCAGCCTCCCGAGTAGCTGGGACTACAGGCATGCGCCACCATGTCCGGCTAATTTTTTTTTTATATATATATCAGTTGGCCAATTAATTTCTTTCTATTTATAGTAGAGACAGGGTCTCGCTCTTGCTCAGGCTGGTTTCGAACTCCTGACCTTGAGCAATCCGCCCGCCTCGGCCTCCCAGAGAGCTAGGATTACAGGCGTGAGCCACCGTGCCCGGCCGAGATCAACCCTTTTAACTCCCACATGAGTGAGGACATTTGATATTTGTCTTTCTATGCCTGGCTTATTTCACCTGGCATAATCTCCAGTTCTATCTACATTGCTGCAAATGACATGACTTCATTCTTTTTTATGACCAAATAGCATTCCATTGTGTATATATACCACATTTACTTTATCCATTCTTCTTTTGATAGACACTTAGGTTGATTCCACATCTTTGCTATTGTGAATTGTGCTGCAATAAACGTGGGGGTGCAGGTATACCTTTGATATCCTGATTTTTTTCCCTTTGGATAAATACTCAGTAGTGGCATAGTGGCATTGCTAGATTGTATGGTAGTTCCATTTGTAGTTTTTTTTTGTTTTTTTTTGAGACAGAGTCTTGCTTTGTTGCCCAGGCTAGAGTGAGTGCCGTGGCGTCAGCCTGGCTCACAGCAACCACAAACTCCTGGGCTCAGCGATCCTACTGCCTCAGCCTCCTGAGTAGCTGGGACTACAGGCTCGGCCTCCCAAAGTGTTAGGATTACAGGCATGAGCCACCACGCCCGGCCCATTTGTAGTTTTTTGAGAACTCTCCAAAATACAGACAGCTTCTTAATGGTGTGTAAAATAGTGATTGCCCACTCCAGATCGTATCTCTATGATTCTCTTTTAGTACCTTTCATCCAGGACTGATATTTCTGGATAGGACTTTTGGCACTAAGACTTCAACATCTGGTCTATGAATTATTTTCCTTTTAAAGTAAGAGAAGGGGTAGCCACAATGGGTGTGGCCCTATGTGCCAGGAACTGTTGCATACATTTTCCATATATTCTCTCTGATCCTGACATTATTCCTGTGGGGTAAGAACTTAATCTCAGAACAGGAAACTATAGCTCAGTGAGGTAAGTGACCTTTAAGGACACAATGTTTTAACAAGTACAACTAGAATTTCAATCTACCTTTGCACATAGAACCCATGTAATAAAATATAGGTGGGTTATAACTTTCTATAGCATAATAATGTGGTGAGAATCAAAAGAGCTCACTAGAAATAACATTTCTCAATTACGTGGTTCCTTTTCTACTGAATTAATAACAGCAACATTTATTAATTTAATAAATATTTACTGAGCACCTACTGTGTACCAGGCTGTATTAGCTTTTGTTGCATGACAAACCACTCCAAGGTGCAAAGCGGTGGTTCATGCCTGCAATCCTAGCACTCTGGGAGGCCAAGGTGGGAGGATCACTTGAGGTCAGGAGTTCGAGACCAGCCTGAGCAAGAGTGAGATCTTATCTCCACCCAAAATAGAAAAAATTATCCAGGTGTGGTGGTATGTGCCTGTAGTTCCAGCTACTTAGAAGGCTGAAGCAGGAGGATCCCTTTAGTCCAGGAGTTTGAGGTGGCAGTGAGCTTTGATCACACCACCACACTCTAGCACTCTAGCTGGGGTGACAGAGCAAGACTATGTCTCCAAAACAAGAAAAAAAACTTGGTTTGTAAAGCTTGTGCCACTGACACATCAGAAAGGAAATAATTAATACCAAACATCTTACAATACTTTTACAGCTACAGGTAAGACAATACTTACAACTGCCCTACTGCATCATTACACAAGTTCTAAGCAATAATGCAATGCAAAGTCTTGATATGCAGTTTGAATATTCTAAACATGGAAAATATTTTTTAAAAAACCCTAGCATTTTAAACCACTTTTAATTATACTTACCATGTCTGCAGAAGAATTGAATAACTACTTTGCACTTATCAGATTTGGTGAATATTTTGCACTTTTCTACATTTCTTTCAAGGGAATTCAGACATTTAAAGATGGGCCCAATTGACTGTAACACAAATACATTATACATATTAAGCACATACTTAAGATGGTTGTTTGATTAGTTTTTTAAAAAACTAACAAAAGCATGGGTATTCATAAATGGATGGACTTGTTCTGTGTGACATTTAAACTATTAAGTATAGAATACATGTTATGTTCTAAATATTTACCTTCATTCCCAATTTGCAATTTAAATTCAATATGGTGTCATTACCATTCATTTTCACTGAGGTTGACCATTGATAATGTTGAAAAAACAAAGAAGAGAACAGGATACATCCATATGCAGACCGACAAGAATTCACAGATCTTAGAGCAAGCTGGAAAAATAAGATAAAGGCTAGTTAGCAGAAAATCGACTTTCTTCAAACAATTGTTTAATTTTTAAAAGTCTATTGTTTAATATCACAGTTAAATATGCTTAAATAAGACCATGGAATGTTAACTATGGACTGCAGTAATCAATGTGTATTGAATGTGCATATATACATACATGCGTACATATTTACATTGAATATGTCTATGTGTTAAATCTTAAATCTTGCATGTTGAAATTTTAAAATAGTAAATACCTACAGGGGTCTTAACTTTAATGTTTGAAGTGTCAGAAAGCAATGTACAGGGTAGTTATAGTATATGGGCAGCTCACACCTTATCTAACGGGAGAAATTGTTACTCAGTTTCAGCCAACTACTTCCACCCCAGAAGGTAGGCCCCAAATGATCAGGTCTTCTGAATTTTCATGAGAAGCAGGAAAAACTGGACTGTCTAAAGTTTTAAATGTTAGAAGTTATTTCAAATTTTTATAAAACCATGCAGGTCCACAAGACATTTCTGGAGGCCATATCTAGCCTCCTAACTGCAAGTTTATGACTTCTGTTTTAAGTCAATTATGTTTATCGGCATGATTTTCAAGTTTACTATGCTCAAAATGTACTCAGATATATAAAATAAAAAACAGTGAAAGGGATAATTACAATTTCTGGATTTCCTGGTTAACATTCAATCTGACTGGGATCTTTAAATATCTTCTCTTGCCTTAATACATTGTCCATTACTTAACTTTCTTACTTACACCTTTTTCAGAAGGGTCTAGCCACAGCTCGTCACTAATTCGTGATAAAGCTTGGATTGCTTTCCCAAATACTGTGGAGGAAAAAAAAGGTGCTTGCTCACATTCCTTCCCTCTAACAATAAAAACAAATCATAGGACTACTTCAGCATTCAGAGGACTCAAGATAAATTCATTTAAAACAACAGTTTTATAGACTAATGCTACATTGCTTTAATAAAGTATAATACCCTTGGAAAAATGCCAGACACACAGTAAGAACTCGATAAATTTGCAGAGTGTGTGAAACAATAAAATTCAACAAAATTCTTCCTCCTGTATGTTTGCAGTGTTGCATGGAGCTCCTATGGCAAGCCAATTTCCATACTAATATATTTTAAAACGTGATTTAAATAAATGTATTTGACCCCCAAAAAAGTGTGAAAACAGTGCATGGAGAGGATGATTTGAAGTGTTTTTAAATAGCTTTACAGACAGCAAAGTCAAAACAAGTCATGAGAGAAAGTATGGATATTCAACATGCATCTCTGGTGTTTGAAGGCAGTATGGAAGATGCCAGACTTTCCCATCAAACATACTCAGGTGCCCTGTCAGAAAAAGATGCTAGGGCTGGATAAAATATTGTTCTGATCCAGTATGACACTGTTAACGTTCTTATGAGTTATGACTAAGTAAACTTCATGGTAAACTGATATGGGACACTATGCTGCAATACAAATGGATGGCCATTTCAATCCATGCAAAAATATAAAAAAGGAAAAATAATTCCAGAACATAAAATCAGATAACAATGGTTAAGAATCATAAGTATGTACACTGGGAAAGATAGGATGACCCAAAATAAAAAGTAAAGATATTTGTCCCTTTTTACCCCTTAACATCTACCACTTTTTCCTGGAATGGAGGATGTTTTCAGGATTCAAGGGCATTACATTTACTGTGCAAACCTCTCTGCCAATCATAATTTGTATTTGCAGCCGCTCTCCAGCGCACCTTAGATCACCAGGCATTAGATTCTTATAAGGAATGAGCAATCTAGATCCCTCCCATGCGCAGTTTACAGGAGGGTTCTTTACAGTAGGGTTCAGGATCTTGTGAGAATCCAATGCTGGCCAGGCACAGTGGCTCATGCCTCTAATCCTAGCACTCTGGGAGGCAGAGGAGAGAGGATTGCTTGAGCTCAGGAGTTCAAGACCAGCCTGAGCAAGAACGAGACCCCCCCTCTCTACTAAAATAACAACAATAATAATAAATAAAAACAAATTATCTGGACAACTAAAAATACATAGAGAAAAAATTAGCTGGGCATGTTGGCGCATGCCTGTAGTCCCAGCTATTCGGGAGGCTGAGGCAGTAGGATCTCTTGAGCCCAGGAACTGGGAAGTTGTGGTGAGCTAGGCTGATGCCACGGCACTCTAGCTTGGGCAACAAAGCCAAGACTGTCTCAAAAAGAATCCAATGCTGCTCCTGATCTGCCAGGAGGTGGAGTGCCGGCAGTGATGTGAGCGATGGGGAGTGCCTGTAAATACAGGTGAAGCTTTGCTTGCTCCCGTGCTCACTTCCTGCTGTGCGGCCCTGTCCCTAACAGGCCACAGAACAGTCAGCCGCCTGGGAGTTGGGGAATGAGAACTTTACAGTCTAGGAGAGAAAACAAAATTAAACAATCATACAAATAATTGCTTATTGACAATTGAGATAAACACTGCAAAAGAGAACTTCCTAGTCCTCTGAGACCACGGAGAAGTGGAGAACTTGTGCTTCCTTTTCCTGCTTATTAACACTGCGCCATAGCTGTCCTCAACACTCCAGAAGCCGGCCCCAACACAAGATACCTTTCAATGACCATTTTCAGGTTACAACCTTTGGGAAATCATTGCTTTTCTAAATATTTTCTGGAGTAACTTTCATTTCTAAAGTGCCATTTACAATAATAATAATAATAGCTCCTGTACGTTCCCATATATTACTGAGATTTTTACATGCTTTTCAATCTCATGACTACAATAAATAAACCCCATAAAGAAGGTGCGGTTATTATTCCCATTTTATAGATGAGGAAACTGAGCCCCAAAGTGATTTAGTGACTTGTCCGAGGCCGAACATTAAAAAATGATAGAATCGGGAAGAAAAACCAGCTTTATGCTTTTCTCTTGGCACAAAAACACTTTTGCTAAGCATTAATTACACTCCCAACTCCTCCCTACACAGTCCTCACTATCTGAGTTTGAGGCCTGATAATGATTTCATTTCATAGACACCACCCGTATTAAACATATGCATAAATAAAAGGAGATGGCCCTTCATCCTCCCCTCAGAAGCTAAAAGGACCCGGCGTGGGTAGGGGCTGGCTGTGGCAAGGTCTCTTGTTTTCAGTCCTTGTGCATAAAGGCAAAATGGAAAAATAAGACGACGGTGGAGATGCCCAGGAATCTTTAGCTTTCCCTTTTCTACACAGCAAGGCAAGAAAGGCGTCTCCACCTTTCACCTCACTGCCGCTCATCACGCACTTCAGCATGGCTATCAGGCCCTGAAAGGCAAGGTCGGAAGGCACGCCTCAGGTCGACGGCCCCAAGTGCCCGGATGTTGCCCGCGTTCTTCGAAGCTTCGCTCTCGTCTCCCCACCCTACCACTCTGCCTCCACTAATTCCCAGAGCGCAGGTTCGCTTTACGGCGGGGAAGGGCCTGTGAGGGCCTCCGTAGGACAGTTTTCTGTCGACTTGGCTTTTCATTGGTTGTGGGTGGAGTGGGCGGGACGCCTAGGAGCCTGAGGAAGAGGGCAGCGGCGGTTGTGGTGACTGAGCTGAGCCCGGTGACAGGATGGTGAGGATGGTAGCTGCGGCGACTGAGGCCTGGCTCTCGGTCGGGGAGCTGGGTGTAGGGAGCCACGGAGAGTCTAGGGACGAGGGCGATGCCGGGGGCCTTGGCGGGCGCGGCGCAGGCGCTGGTTGGAGAAGGCCCGCGAGAGGGCTGGGAAAAGAAGGGAGCGGCCACCTCTGGGTGCGGCCGGCCCTTCCCTCTCACCGGGGCCCCAGGCGCCGGAGGACGTCCGGGGATGTGAGAGGAGGAAGGTCCTTCTCAGCTGCTCGTCCCATCACGAGATCCGCTCGCCCAAGCCAGGGAAGGCTTTGGGTCCTATGACTCAAGCGTCCCCGAGAATGGGGCACTGTCCTCCGTTTCCAGACGTTTCCCTCCTCCTTTCCGCAAAAATTATCTCCCATTGGTTGGGGTGTACTGGTTACCACCTCTATGTGGCGAAAACTGGCCTCTTGGATACAAAACGGGAAGTAGCGAGCGGAATTCCCTGCACTTTTACGTTTGCCATGCAGGGAAAGGGAATAAAAAACATCCCTTTCGCCCCCAAAATAACGTGCATGTGCCACTGGAATGTGGAAGTGTGCTCCTAGAGAGCAGGAGTTGGCTCTTAAGGTCGTTGAACTAGTTGTTTCTAGTTCTAGGAGGCTGTGACCCTTTAGAGTAGGATTCCTTAATGGTCTGTGAACTTCTTGAAATTGTTTGGAAAATGGTGTAAATATATGTACGTTTTTCTCCGGAGAGGGCCAGTATTGGCTCCAAGGGGTATTTTGGGGAGCTTTACCTCTTTCTGTCATCAGACTTCCCCAGTCTCCTCCAGCCAGCTTCAAGCCATCAGTCCCTCCTCTCCCAATAAATTGATACCCCTAAGACCTTCCTATGTAAAAACTGGGGAGCTGCTAAGGGAGAGGACTCATAGCTGCAGTCAGATTTTCAAAGGTGCCCATGACTTTGAAAAGTCAACTGTTTGGGGAGAAGCTGTGATTATCTTGATATTTGTGTTGATGGAGGTTATCTGTAAAGTGACTTCTCTCTCTCATAGGCATCAGTTGCATTTTTAAGATTATTACTGTTCCTTGACAAATAATGCCTTTTCAAGAGTGGCTTATAGATGCAGGGACCAAAGATTTATGGTGGTGGATGTTTCTTTCTTCTTCTTTTTTTTTTTTTTCCCAACGTGTATGTTTCTTTAAAGGCTTTAATGCCACTTTGGATTTTTACTTCTAAACAGACTCCAATTTAAAGTAATCCAGTTTACAGTAATTTTAAGACACCTATGCTTAGGAGACAATGTAATCATTACTTGCCACAATTCTATCGTCATGTTTCTGAAGTTGTGAGAGATGAACACTATTTTTTAGGGTAGTTATACTGGCACATTACTTTTCATATGAAATAGAAAGTACTGGGCAAAATTTAGCTTTAGCCAATTCTTGTATGATTAAAAGCGTTTTATTTGGCAAACAAGACATTCACTGCAGTCTTCAAAGTCTATGGGCAACAAATTCAGGTCCAATTTTAACTGAATGAATGTGTTTGTTTTATTATCTTTATCACCTTTGGTTGGCATGTTTATTGCTTGACAATGTATTCAAAGTGCTCTGTTACATCCTCTATAAAAAATAATGATCTAGATGTGGCAGAATTTTCCAACTACTAGAATTTTGAATGAATTAAAATCAGTATACTTGAGAAATAATTAGACCCTAAGAATCCAGAAAATGTTAACCTAAGCTATTACTGGTGAATTTTACAAGTTGTCTTCTAAACATCTAAATTAATAATTTTTTTTTTTTGAGACAGGGTCTCTCTCACTCTGTCACCCTGAGTAGAGTGCATAGCTCACTCACCGCAACCTCAAACCCCTGAGCTCAAGCAATCCCCCTGCCTCAGCCTCCCAAGTAGCTGGGACTATAGGCACCCATCACCCTACCTGGCTAGTTTTTCTATTTTTAGTAGAGATGGGGTCTTGTTCTTGTTCAGGCTGGTTTTGAACTCCTGAACTCAAACAGTCCTCCCGCCTTGGCCTCCCAGAGTGGTAGGATTATAGGCATGAGCCACTGTATCTGGCCTAATAATTTTATTTTATAAAACTTTATAAAAATTTAAACAGAATGGAAAACAAAAGGGATAGAAGTCAATGTGGAGAACTAGATTAGGAAAACTAGAAAAAACATTGACAGGACAAATTTATAAAAAAGAGTATATGTGTGTTTGTGTCATGTTTAAAAAAAAGTAAATGTTTCTTTTGGTATTGTTTTGAACACAGCTGATTCTTAACATATTCTTTCATAACACTCAGAAATCATTAACAATTGTTTGCATTTTCATTTGGTATGGGTTTTTTGTTGTTCTTTTTTTGGTTTGTTTCTTTTCGTTGCTTTCTTTTAACATTGGTCATGTTTCACCCTTTTTTTTCATCCCCCTGTCTGCAATCAACTTCTTCATTCCACTAAGGCTGGGCACAGAGTAAGTTCTTTCTCTTAGCTCCTACTAACAATGGTGGTTGGGTGGCAGATTACTGACTGGGTTCCTCTGCCTTTTAAGGTCTATCAGATAGGAAATAACCAAATTCCCATGCTTTGATTGGGTTGGTTCTTTATTTGAATTTAATAAGACTGCCATTTACAGGATGTTTTCCTTTCTTAAAGGACTCTATATGATCTATATCCAACCTGATTTGTCAAAGTGTGGAATTTGGGCAAGGACACTCCTCAAAGTATGTGACACTATTATGTGACACTATTTCTCCTATAACTTTGTTACCGGCTGGAAACCAGAGGATTTTGTTCTTCTAAGGATCCTTACTAATTTGAAATCATTTCTGTATGGTCATTCCTACAGTTATATCTTTAGACTGCTAATAGTCTTGAGTTCACTTTATAGAATTTGTGTCATCAATCATTATAATGCACTATGTCTTACTAATGTTCTTTCTGGTACATTCAGATTGAACAGATCATTGATCATTAGTCCTAAACATTTCAACCTGTTATAGACATATATTCTTTTGTGAGTTTGGGGTTCTTCTTCTTTTTTTTTTTTTAATATAGAAATCTATTTTTTACCTTTTTCTCAAATGCCAGCTTCTCACATTAACTATGTACTTCAATCCATATGTGAAGGGATCCCCCTCTAAAATGAAGATTGTTCTATATCCAGGTACTTTTACATTGGTTATCAGTGAGGGTGGAAACTTCATAGTGGTTTTTAGTTTTAGGGATGTTTTGTCCACTGAGATCTTCATTGAAACAATTAATATAGATCATTGAACAAATACCAGCTGAAACTAGTCTTTATAAAGAAGAAACTTGCTTAACAATTTATTTTAAAGTGTGCTAATTTTATAACCTTGTGTTACTTCAGTTACTCTATGTCCTGATAACAGTTCCTTTTCTTTGCAATCATTTTATTTTTGTTGCAAAATGAATCAAGCTTGTTTTAGTAATCATTTTAATTTTACACCTTTTGTTTTTGGTTAATTTTAATTTACAAAGTCTGTGGTGGCAAAACTATTTTGTTTAATCCTATTAGATATTTAATGTTTTCTTTGATAATATTAAGGAATAGTCATGCCTTTAAAAGCAGTTAAAGGGCATGTACATTTATGAATGGGATATCTGAAAATACCCTGTATGGAATGGAGCTGCTTATACTAATCAAGATGAAGAAATTGATTCTGTTGTCCTTTGAAGGACAGCTATTATTTTTAAATGATCTTTCTAACAATATTCTATTAAATTGCTAAATTTAATGTTTTTCAAATCTTGAAATTTTAAAATTAAAATCTTATAGGATTGGCGTTTTATATTCTTTTCTATTTAAGAGCAAAATTTATTTTTGTCATCTGAGACTATGTTGTAACTCTAAACCACCTCATACTAAATTCATCACTTATCTAGCTCTCTTTTTTGTCTTAATGCTATAATTAATGTACATGAAAGATTATGAAAATATTTTTTTTAATTTGGGAACTATACTGAGAGTATGTAGGCAATTTAATCCAGATAATAAAATATGACTGAGGATTTCTAATAATGAAGGGAAGTGAAGATATCAAAGATTATAAATCAAAAGCACATATTTACCTATTCAAACTCTGAAACATAGGCTATTTTTATATCTCTGTAATGTATAGCTAATAGTTTGAAGTAACAAAAATGGTAAATTTTGGCTACTATACCTTTAAATAGTTGTCAGTCTAGTAAACATAAATTGTAGAGTTAACTTTTTTTCTCTATTACATTTTTAACAATTCCTTTTAATAATGTTTCTAGAATACATAGGTTTCACATTACAACTGCAGAAATATGAATTACCATATCAATCTTTTAAAATGCCAAATTCCATAGGGCTCAGTAATATGCTTTTCATTTTGCAATTTTCTTTTATTCCATGTAATTTATAGGTCTCTAAATGAACCACTTTAGAATGCTTGATTTTATTCTCAGTAAATAAATTGAATGATTTCCTATATTGTGTGTGTACAACCTTCTATGACACAAATAAAATAAGATTGATTTAGAAAAGAGTACATTATAATATGCTTGTTTAAATGGTCAGGATAGGAACTGTATGAATAATTTCTGCTATGTGGAGTTCTGGATCACTGATAAGCTTAATTTAAAAGGGGAATTGTGGGAGGAGAATATTTTGTTTTGATGTCATATTTAATATTATGCTTTATCTCACCTTGACACTTTAAAGTTGGTGTTGGTATTAGGAGATCTGCACATCCCACACCGGTGCAACAGTTTGCCAGCTAAATTCAAAAAACTTCTGGTGCCAGGAAAGATTCAGCACATTCTCTGCACAGGAAACCTTTGCACCAAAGAGAGTTATGACTATCTCAAGACTCTGGCTGGTGATGTTCATATTGTGAGAGGAGATTTTGATGAGGTGATGTATTTTCCTTTCCTTTCCCAAATATTTCCTTTTTCGATTCTTACATAAGCTTTATCCTTTAGATGAAAGTTCCTCAACTAGTAAGATCGTCTTTTTTCAAATGTAAAATTATTACATATGCTCCTCCCTCACTGTTTGAAAAATAACTGGATTTAAATTACCCAGTAAACATATTTAATACTTATTCTAACTAAATAAATTGATACTGGGTAAAAGTGGCTTTGTTATTGTTTTTTGGTAGAGCTATCATTTAGTTTATATATATAAAGTTTTTGTTATGAACTTCTCACCACCACTACCCTATTCCAAGCTACCACCTTACCTTCTTGTATTCCAACTTCCTAATCCTACCCTTCCTCCTTCCATAGTTTGTTCTCCAAGTAGCAACCAGAGTGATCCTTTTAAGTGAAGTAAGATCACATCATTGCTCTGCTGGCAACCCTCCTGTGGCTTCCTTTCTCAGGGGTTGACTTTACAGGGCATGAGGCAGTTTTGAGGGAATGAGAACTGCTCTGTTTCTTGGATGTGGTGTTCAACACTGGGTACATTTGTCAAGATCCATTGAATTGTATACTAAAAGGGTGATTATATGTGTGTAAATTATGCCTCAGTAAACTTGACTTTAAAGAAAAAAATAAGGAGTTCTGGAGTTCCACTTTTGCCCATTAATAATGAGATTTTTGGCAAATTACTTCCCCTTTTTTTTTTTTTTTTGGTAACTGGTAACTTGTAACTTAGCAAGTCCCTGTCTTAAAAATAAAAATGTTTATGCCATCCATCCTTCTAGGCCAAAAAAAAAAAATAAATAAATAAAAATAAAAATGTTTAATATTTCCCCAAAGATGATTGGAAAAAAGAAAAAAAATGTTTGAATAAACTAGAGGTGACATGCAGGAGGGGATGAATAAGAAGGGAAGGGGCAAACTTGTTAATAATTAGAACATAGGCTGGGCACGGTGGCCTGTAATCCTAGCACTCTGGGAGGCCGAGGCGGGCAGATTGCTCAAGGCCAAGAGTTGGAAACCAGCCTGAGCAAGAGTGAGACCCCGTCTGTACCATAAATCGAAATAAATTAATTGGCCAACTAATATATACAGAAAAAAAATTAGCCGGGCATGGTGGCATATGCCTGTAGTCCCAGCTACTCGGGAGGCTGAGGCAGCAGGATTGCTTGAGCCCAGGAGTTTGAGGTTGCTGTGAACTAGGCTTACGCCATGGCACTCACTGTAGCCTGGGCAACAAAGCGAGACTCTGTCTCAAAAAATAATAACAATAATTAGAACATAGGTCTGGTTTATTAAAAACATTTATGTGTGTATGTATATAACATTTTATATTAGAGCTTCTGTTTGTGTTATGTTAAAGACAGCTTAATTAGCAAGAGTTAAAGTTTTGTTTGTTTTTTTTTTTGAGACAGAGTCTCACTTTGTTTCCCAGGCTAGAGTGAGTGCCATGGCGTCAGCCTAGCTCACAGCAACCTCAAACTCCTGGGCTCAAGCAATCCTGCTGCCTCAGCCTCCTGAGTAGCTGGGACTACAGGCATGCGCCACCACGCCCGGCTAACTTTTTCTATATATATTAGTTGGCCAATTAATTTCTTTCTATTTATTTTATAGTAGAGATGGGGTCTCGCTCTTGCTCAGGCTGGTTTCGAACTCCTGACCTTGAGCAATCCGCCTGCCTCGGCCTCCCAGAGTGCTAGGATTACAGGCGTGAGCCACCGCGCCAGGCCTTAAAGTTTTTTAGTTTGCTAAATTCATAGACCCCGGAGCCATACTACCAGAGTTTGGATCTTAGCTCAGTCACTTACTAGTTGTGATCTTGGGCAAGTTATTTAACTTCTTTGTGCCTGTTTCCTCATCCATAAAATGGGGATCATAATAAAACCTACCTCTCAGGATTGTTGTGAATATTAAATAAATTGATTGATATTTGTAAAAACCTTATAATAGTGCCTGGCTTATACTAAGTGCTATATAAGTACTAGTTATTATTTTAAGCCATCTATATAATTATTAAAGCCTGGCATATAATTTGAACACACCCTAACTTACAAGTTATATGCCTTATGTAGAAGAAAATCACAGGTTAGGGGGATAATTATTCTTTACAGCATGTACAAAAGAACCTGTATTCTATGGAAATGAACACAATAAAAGGATTGCATGATAAATTCCAGTTTACATTGAGTAAGTTATATTTTAAGCATAGGTGCAGCCTTAAAGACTGAGAAGAAATTAAATATTTGTAAATGTGTTCATTATGAGGGACTGTATCAAAACTTCCATATGAGACTGAATGTGTAAGCGGATTCCTTTTTTAAACATCAGTATCTCTAAAATATATATTTTCTTATGTCCATTTCTTATATTAGAATCTGAATTATCCAGAACAGAAAGTTGTGACTGTTGGACAGTTCAAAATTGGTTTGATCCATGGACATCAAGTTATTCCATGGGGAGATATGGCCAGCTTAGCCCTGTTGCAGAGGCAGTTTGATGTGGACATTCTTATCTCAGGACACACACACAAATTTGAAGCATTTGAGCATGAAAATAAATTCTACATTAACCCAGGTTCTGCCACTGGAGCATATAATGCCTTGGAAACGTGAGTAATATACAATTTGGGGGCTTTAGTAAAATTAATAATTGCATGTGTTATATTTCATAAAAAGAGAAAGATGACTATTTAAATAATTCTAGCCTTTTGGGCAATGTTCTTTTTAACATGTGATTAACAGATTTCTCCTTGAATCCAAATTGTCATCTTTAAAATTTGTGGTGCTGCTGCTTTTTAGTACAAAACACTGACATTATTTATTTTTTCTTCTAGAAACATTATTCCATCATTTGTGTTAATGGATATCCAGGCTTCTACAGTGGTCACTTACGTGTATCAGCTCATTGGAGATGATGTGAAAGTAGAAAGGATCGAATACAAAAAATCTTAAAGCCAGCCCTGTCTTGATGATTTTACTGGGTGTCTTTTTTTTGGTTGTTGTTCATTCCTTTGTTCAAATCAAGTAATTAAACATTTAAGAGCCACAGAATTGTATCACTTTTATAATATTTTACAGTAAAATATACCATCTTCTTTGTTAATACATTATTGCTCTAAGCTTCTTCTAAACTATAAGAATATATTTAGTTTACAGTATATGGCTTCTATGAAAAAATGTCCACCACACAGTAAATGGTCATGTGATGAAAAAAATTTATCCTTGTAAATATCCTCATAGTTGATATTTGGAACTTTATTCTAAAAGAAGTGCATGAGGAGAAAGAATCTAGACTTTCTTGTATACATTTTTCTTTTCTCCAATAATAAACATTTACTTTACATTTATACTTTCTTGATAACCTGTGTTTAATTTTAAAAAACATAAAAGTAAAGGACCAAATGAAACTACAGATAAGGGTATTAAGTGAAGAGGTAACCTTTCAGAGCTCTCTTCTCTTACAACATTGTCAGAATGTTGTACTCAGATTTTATTTTCTAAATAATATACTAAATTGACATTAAATCAGTAGTGATTTTCCAAAAACTGTTGCTACTCCCATTTTTCAAGCTGTCACAAAAAAAATTTTTTTTAAAGCTTAGCAGAGAAGCATAGTGGAGTAATATATAATGTAAAAAGTAAGCCTAAACACTTTGGGAAGCCAAGGCAGGAGGATCACTTGAGGCTAAGAGTTTGAGATCAGCCTGGGCAACATAGTGAGACTTCCATCTCTACAAAAAAAAAATTAAAAATTAGCTAGGCATGGTGGCACACACCTGTAGTCCCAGCTACTTGGGAGGCTGAGGCAGAAGGAATGCTTGAGCCCAGAGTTTGAAGCTACAGTAAGCTACCATTGTGCCACTGTACTCTAGCCCAGGCAATAGAGCGAGACTCTGTCTCAAAAAACAGTAGAGCAGCTACTTAATCTAGTTCATGAGTCCAAGCATTTGTGTGGCATAGGGCAAATCTGTATTTACATTTTTAAGTTGTATTCAAGTAGCAAATATTGAGTATCTGCTTTGCAAGTTAGAGCATCATCTCTATCAAATGCTATTCTATATCTGAATATTTAAAAGTTTTTCTTAGCCCACTCAAGAAAATACTTGTAGGATATTCTAATGTTGCTCTTTTAGGACTTACTGTAAGCACAGAAAGGAGAAATTATACAATGCATTTATCAGATTTAAAGAAAACTAATTCAATTTTAAGTGACAAGAAACACTTTAATTGTATCTAGCTAGAAATACAAGCATATACTACACATAAATTTTATTACACAAATATGGAACTATATCAGACCAATTACATTGTTGTAAAAGTTTCTGAACAAAGCAAAATTACTTAATGACTTAATCGTGAATAACAATACTATTCTAAGTATAGAGAGAGGACACAGTTCACAACTCCTTCCCCCCACCTTTGGCACAAATTAAATATATGAGACAAGACTATCAAGTTAACATCAGATGTTCTCCCTGTTCTTCGATTGACATTGACTGCATACACTTATTTAGTAAGTCTTCTTCCTTTTTTTCTTCACTCATGTATGATTCGGAACCATTTGAAGAAACTGAAGGAAAAATAAGAGTTTATAATGTCTGTTTTGGAAATAAAGTTTTAAGTACAACTTGCAAAATGACCTAGCTTATTAATAAGCCTGTAGCAAAGACAAATATTCAAGACTCTCAGTCTCCTCCACCTTCTCCCAAATATCTTACTCCTTAAAATAAGATATGCATAAGGCCAGGCATGGGGGCTCACACCTATAATCCTAGTACTTTGGGAGGCCAAGGCAGGAGGATTGCTTGAGGCCAGGCTGAGCAAGAGAAAGACCCCATCTCTACAAAAAATAGAAAACCAAGTGTGGTGACATGCACCTATAAGTCCCAGCTACAGAGGCTGAGGCAGGAGGATCACTTGAGCCCAGGAGTTTGAGGTTGCAGTGAGCTATGATGACATATGTCACTGCACTCTAGCCTGGGTGACAGAGTGAGACCCTGTCTCACAAAGAAAAAAAATAAAAAATAGATATGCAGTATTATGTGCTTAGCCAAGTTATTGTATAGCAAATTTTCTGTTACTAAGTCCTATATTCCATATTCCCATTGATTTTCAAAATCTTTTGGTTAGGGGGAAGATAAAGTGGTCAGTTATATCTTCCATGTCCTTCTATTTTCCTTTAGTTCTTTCTCATCTCTTCTTTTGGGGACCAACGAAGACTTTTCCCTTACATGGGGTTTCCTCTGACTGTTCTTTTGGGAAACAGACTTACCTTCTCTGGTGCCCTTTCCTTCACTTCTTGGACAGGCATAGTATGATATTTATAGCAGAGCTGGGTGATGCTGTCATACAGTGATGGGATATTGATTCAGAAGGCTTAACTTTCCTACTTCCTACCCACTTCCTTAACCACTGTAATAACTAAAAGATTATTTAACTTCTACTTAATCCTTTCCACTTTATCAATTCTGAGGAATTCTTCTGACCAGTTTTTCTTCTTGCTTTGACTTTTTCATTTTGCAGTATTCTGTACTTGTGGCAGAAGGATCCTTTATGCTGATCTTTCCAAAGTCTGGATTTGTTTGAGTTGTATGAGTAAAATTTTGATAACATCACCTGCATGGCTTGCCTCCACTGGTTTGTTGAATATCAAACAAAATGGTATACAGTAGTCCCTCCTTATTCATTGTTATTCTCTGTGGTTTCAGTTACCCGAGGTACAATACAATAAGATAATTTAAGAGACAGATCACATTCACTTAACTATTATTACAGTATATTGTTATAATTGTTTTATTATTTATTGTTAATCTCTTAATGTGCCTAATTTATAAATTAACCTTTATTATAGGTATGTATTTATAGGAAAAGATACAGTATAACAAGCATCCACTGGGAGTCTTGGAACACATCCCCTGTGGGAAAGGGGGACTACTGTAAGTGATACAGCCCTTTGTAGACTACTATATACTATACAAAATATGTCATTCATCCAAAAGTGGCACTATCTCATAAAAAGAAGTGCTGTGGCATGAAAAAGTCATGTTTGTGGCTCTGGGTCCTGAAAAATTCTGAACTTGATATTTTAAATATCTTTATTTAGAATTAGAAATACCTTGAATCTCACTTTCGTGAGCAGTGTATTCTTTTAAATGAAAATATAAACAATATTTCATGTTTAATTTTGTATTTGGAGCAATAAAAAAATCACATTCTAAATTTTTTGGTTATCTTCATAATGGAAATGAAATTATATTTGGTTTAATATTTTTTAAGTATATGATCTACAAAAATGCCTATTTACCTGGTTGCATGAATAGTTTGCCAGGTCTTCTAAAAATCTTCAGTGACTTACATCTTGTTTTAGATGCATATCCAGTTTTTAGCCTGTAAGAAAGGGAAGTATCTTAATTGGAGACAGCAAAGTGAACAGCTGCCTAGTGCATGTGGAAGATCACACAAATTCTTTTTATTAGCTGCCATCATCACCAAAGAGAATTTTTCAGCCCCCAAATTCTCCTGTGATTTATTAACCGTGAGATGCAAAGCTAATTGTTATAGAGTAGTTTGAATGCTCAGGGTCCTTAATCTCTTTTTTTCCTCTCCTTTTTTGTTTTATAGTATTCACTTATGCAAAAGCAATCATATATTTCTCCTTTTGGATGTATTTGCATTATTTTTAATCTGAGTGAGAATCATATTGAAAAGGGCAGTTGTCCACATCTCTAGCTAATCACGACATGTTTACAGCTTCACAAAATATATTCTAAAAAAGTGGCATATTCCAATCAGCTCGGTAAAGAGAAAGTATTATCCATTTGTGCTTTTTGTTCAGCCTATTCTCAATTTAGTAAAGTGAACATATTAAGGAGCACAAGTTGTAATATTACTTAGCCTTTCAAATAAAATGGGTACATTTTTTCTCACCCTTCCACAACATCTGCAAAAGAAAAAAAAAAGAAAATGGGTACATTTTCCCCCTTTTACACATTAAGAAACAGACCCTTCTTTGTTTCTGACTGGTCGCCAAAGAGAATGCTGTATGATCATTTCAGGTGCAGATGCAGCTGCAAGGTCAGAAGGCCCGGAGTCCTCTCTCTCCAGCTGGTGTCGCCATGTAGTGCAGGGATAATGCTGTTTCTGTGAGTAATGAGAGCTGAGGCGGCTCCTATGATGAGTGAGGACACCTGTCATACAAATCACCTCTATTAGAAGACCCTCTCACTAATTATGAGAACGGGTGAGAAACCAACTGGAGGTGTACCTGCCTGGCTTTGGTGAGCTGCGCTGAATCACATGCATATACTGCCTCTTCACTAACGCCCTCAGATAGTTTGCATTGTACATCTTAGCAATACTGCACAGATAACGCTTCTGGATTATGGTGAGGTCTGGATGCTAAAAGATGGAATAAGAGGATTTATAGTCTGCACTGTAGAACAGAAGTTGGCAATATTCCTTATTTGAAAAGATGAATGTTCAGAAGAGTTGTACCATCTGTACATTTACTTAAGCAAATTCAACTATGTTAACTTGGCCCAAAGAGAAAGAAATGGTCATTTAAACAGTGCAAGTGGCTCTGCTTGGCATTCCACTCAAGTGATTCAGATACCCTATAAGGTTCAAGAACCCACTGCCTAGAGGAACAAGGAAGGAGTGACTCTGCAGTTCTGTCATTGAGTTTTACATCCTGTGTGCCTCTCAGTGTGGACATCTTGCCTTCTCAATATGACTTTTTTAGATACAATAGGGTACTTAAAAGCAACCCAGTTACTCAACTTAGTCTGAACTAAAGTTAAGTCTTGGCTAGCAAGAATAACTGTGTTGGACACACTGAGGGACAGTATGCTGGTCTGTGATCTAGGTAATTTTGACTGAGATTTCCATTGTACTTGCTGATTTTAGGATGCTCACTTAAGATGCAAGACTCCATCCTATATGCATGTATACATACATGCAGGATTTACTTTACTGAATAGGCAATAAATCCAGGGAAAAGTCAAAATATTACAAAATTTTACCCTAATTCTCATATTGCCTTAGAGATGATATTTTTGGCAATTATGATCTTCAATGAGTAGTATAAGTCAACAGTTCTAAAATCCTTATTGTCATTTTCTTTACCTGCTTTCTTGTTGTTTTGTAGTCCTTGAGGGAAATCTTTATGAGGTTGGGTTTCTATTTCTAAGATGGAACTTTCCTTGAGCATCTTTGTTGTTGGGGCATTGAGCTTCCTGAGTAAAGATATATTAGATCTGCAGCATCATAAAGCCCTGAAAGAATTCTTATGACAAGGGATCTATAATCCTTGCATTCGTTCTTAAGTTTATTGACTCCTAGATAACATGCTGGACATACCTTGTCATCTGCAGTGCCTTTACCTCCAAGTAGCTTATCTTTAATAAAAAGTTCAGCTCTGAATACAAAGAGCATTGGTATTTAAATATATCTCTGTTAGCATACCTTTAGAAAGGATGCATCCATCATTGACTTAGGGATGTGAATTGTTTGAATTTGAGGATTTTTCCATACCTCTTGCAGCTTGGCTATGTGTGAGTCCACTTTGTGTCCATCTTTGATTCTATCTGTAGGCAAGGACATTATGACAGGAATTTCAGAGATGAAGATAAGTTCAAAAAATTTAGTTATTAAGATCTACATAGTTACATGTGTGCTAGAATTACTTATATCAGACTATTAAATTTGAAGAGATTGTATGATATGCCATTTAGTTTTAGAGCACACAAACATTTAAGATACTTATATATATTATAACTATACATCATTACATATGGACTACATTATTTGGAACTCAGCTGAGATGCAAAATATTGTAAGACTTTTTCATGTCAGAAACATACTAAAGAGGAAATATAAATGCAGGATTTGTGATTTACAACATTTTTCATGACTTGAGTATATAGTTTTAAAAGTCTGTATTAGACTCAAGATAGAATAACACAAATCTTATCCCTTTAATCATGTAGTGTTAAAACAGGCTTTGTAGAAACGTATCAAAATTTATTTTTACATAGCTTCAGTTATTTCAGTTTTAGTATGGATTTAGGAAGAACAAAAGAATACCCTTGCAGTAAAAGTAAAAGTTATGCTGGGCATGGTGGCTTATGCCTGCAATCCAAGCACTTCTGGAGATCAAGGTGGAGGATCACTAGAGGCCAGGAGTTCAAGACCAGCCTGAGCAATATAGCAAGATCCGATCTCTACAAAATTTTTTTAAAACATTAGCTGGGCGTGGTGGTGCGCTCCCATAGTCCTAGCTACTCTGGAGGCTGAGGCAGGAGGATTGTTTGAGCCTAGGAGTTGGAGGCTTCAGTGAACTATGATATGCCACTGCCTTCCAGCCTGGATGACCGAGTGAGACCCTGTGTCTTAAAAAAAAAAAAATCTAGACTCAGTGCCAGGAGTTGGCTGTTATGTTTATATTAAATAATAGAATAAGACCCTAAGTTCAAATACAGAGGGAAACAATAAAACACTTGTTGAATACTAGCCCTGTTTTCCTCCAATTATAAACAGTAATACACATTGTTCATTACAGATTTATAAAGTATATTAAGTGTAAAAATAGGGGAAAAAACCTTTATTCCACCATCTACTAGTAATTATTTTTAAACGTTCTGATATATTGTCTTTCATAGCTTTTACTAGGCATATCTGTATTGTCTTTATTTCATTTTTTTAGAAACAAGGTCTCACTCTGTTGCCCAGGCTGGTGCAGTAGCACGACCATAGCTCACTGTAACCTCAAATTCCCGGACTCAAGCAATCCTGCCTTGGCTTCCCTGAGAAGCTGGCATTACAGACACACATTACTGAGCCCAGCTAATTTGTTAAAAATTTTTGTAGAGACGTGGTCTTGCTATGTTGCCCAAGCTGGTCTCAATTGCCTGGGCTTAAGCGATCCTCCCACCATGGCCTCCCAAAGCACTGGAATTATAGAGATAAGCCATCTCTGTGTTTGTTTGAGTAGGGTCCTATGGTATAGAACCCTTTCATTTTTACTTTTTAATTTAATTTTTTTTTGAGACAGAGTCTCGGTTTGTTGCCCAGGCTAGAGTGAGTGCTGTGGCATCAGCCTAGCTCACAGCAACCTCAATCTCCTGGGCTCAAGCAATCCTACTGCCTCAGCCTCCCGAGTAGCTGGGACTACAGGCATGCACCACCTTGCCCAGCTAATTTTTTGTATATATATTTTTAGTTGGTCAATTAATTTCTTTCTATTTTTAGTAGAAATGGGGTCTTGCTCAGGCTGGTTCCGCCTCGGCCTCCCAGAGTGCTAGGATTACAGGCGTGAGCCACCATACCTGGCCTCATTTTTATTTTGATATTTGTTTAAACATTTTGCTTTCATATAACTGAACCAATCTACCTCATATACTGATCATTGTTAACATTTCTTCTTTTATTATTTCACTCCACATCTGGGATGGAATATGTTGTATTAATTCTGTTTTCTGTTTGTGCTTTGTTGATTTTTAAATTTAACTGTAGTTGGTAAGAATTTTGATAAGAAATCTAAATTAAAGAACCTACAGTGTAACACATATTAAAAATGGCCATATTATTTATTTACATATATTTATATATATGCCTATATATATATATATATATATGTATTTTTTTCCTAGGTAACTATAAGGAGTATACATTTTACAGAAAAAACAAAATGAACCCAGCTTTATATATCACTGTATTTAAATTAAACATTTAAAAGCTACTATAACTACTATACTTTAAAGATACACACGCAGCCCTAAGGTCAGTTAACTCCGCCTCCTCTCCCAAGGGATAATTAATTAAAAGCAAGTAATGAGAGGCCTCTGGGGACTTGTCTTACTCTCTTAACTTCAGCAAAGAGGTATTTGAAAGCTCTTTTATTTCAAATGAGAGAAAAATATCAGCATGAGAAAAATTCTGTGTTCTTTGAAGCTGTTCAATTTAGAATTTTTCCTTTAATTATATATAAACCCCAGGCTGTGCTTGGTGCTTTTCAAACAACATCAGTTATAAACACAGTTCTTTTAGGATTCATTGTTAATTTAAAAAATGTTTGACGTGAGATAGACTGTATTAACAGAAGAGAAAGAACCTGCCAGATTGGTCCTTGAAATCTTAAAGACTAAGTTCACCAGGGATGCTAACAAAGTCTATTTTTAAAACTATTGTGTAAGTAGTTACAGGCAAATTAGATTCTCTAAGCCATTTATTTGTAGGTATTACCTGCTTTATATGCAATACTCACCAGTACCTTTAGAATTCTGGTAATAAGAATGTCCAGCTGATCTGTTGAAAAATTATATAAATAATACGTAATAACTGTCAACTTTATAAGCACTAAAGAATGTATTTCAAATGAAAAAAGTATTACATATGCTTTTTACTTTTCATGTTTCTATCAGACATAATGCCTTGCAAATTTTCTCCTGTAATTCTGGTTAAATCCTAAAGATTCCAAGATTTTTCAACACGAGTTATCTGAGATTTTCCCATGATAGAAAGGATATATTTTAGGCCAGATTTGCTCTTAATTTTATGGCTTGCTAATCTAATTCCAACAGCGAGCTCAATAAAATAGTTTGGGCTCCTGTGCTTTCCATGATATTTTCTTGCTGTCTTTATCTTTAGTAAAGCAACTTGGGTATTGAAAAGACTATTCTATGAGAAGTACTTAAGGTGTGTTGGAACTGATAAGTTAGTCTGTAATGTTTCTAATTTTGTACAAGTTCTTTTTTTCTTTTCTCAAAACAAAACACTTCCTTCCCTCTTCCTGCAATTTATTCAATAATCAAGAGTTCACTGATCTCATAATAAACTAGGATCCAGCAGTCTGCCAAGGACTGTGAAGAACAGAACAGAAGACCCCATCCCATCTTTAAGAAGTCTTCAGTAGCACCAGATATAAAAAAGAAGGCCCTCGGTGCAGCAGGGCCGGCTGAATTGGACAGCAAACGTCCTGCAGCTCATGCTTTTAGGGAATAAAGGAAGGAGGCGATGAGTGGGTATCGCCTGCAGCAGTGATTTCAGCAGCTAACTAACTTCATCTAGGAACAGTAGTAAAAACCTGCTCAAAATGAAATGAATTTATGAAGACAGGAACTTCAGTGAGAGGAAAATGTCAAGATCAAGGTGTCTTTTAACTACCAGTTAACAGTTGCAGTATTTGCCAGAGCATTATCTAGTGGGCCCAATGCGTACCTCAAGATAAACAGGGTTTGTTATGCCTTAAGAAATTCACTGGTAATTTAAATGGTCCTGAAATGTCTATAAAATAAAGAAATTTTCAAAGTTGAAAAAAAAAAAACCCCACAAAGTCATCTGTCAAATTGGCGAATAGAAACCCTCATTTGACAGAAAGGCGGCTACTGTCTCGCCCAAGGAACTAACTGGTTGATAGACTTGGAAGCCCTCCATTAAGCTGAGGGACGTTTTCTCCCTCCTCTGTCCCCCGCCGTCCTAGCCTTTGTAGATTCAGTACCGAGGCCAGACGGCAATTTCCCCGGCAGGTTTTGCAGCGCCTCCTCGGGGCAGAAGGAAGCTCGCAGGCGACTGTCGCAGTCACCGCGTCTCGTCATTGCACCAAACGCTCCTCTCCGCTCAGAAGCCCTTCCCCTCAGCAGCCAGTCGGCCTCCATATTTCCCACCCTGTCCACAACAAACGTTCTCCCCGCCTCTCCCGTGAGTGCGCCGGGGACCAGATCGTGAGAGGAGCAGCCGCCCCCTCTGGGGGGGGGGGTGCGACCCCGGGCGGGCGCCATTCTCCCGACCCCCCAGGACCCCAGCCTCACCCGCCGCCGCCGCCCTCGGTCCCGGCCGCTGTGGGCGGCCCTGCGGAAGAGCTGCTCTCCGTCCAGTCGGACCCTGGGCCCCGGCCCGGCATCTCCGCAGTGCCCGGCCGCGAGCTGTGTGCGGGAGAAGCTGTCCCCGCTCCCCGGCGCCGTCAGCACGCGTGCGTCAGGCGGCGAAGTGCTGGGGCGAAGAGGCGAATGGCGCCGGATTCCAGCCCCCTCCGAAGCCGTCCGGACCCTGCCCGAATAGCTTCGGGAGAGCGAGGGCAGCCTCGCGACCCTGAGTTAACTTCGGGGAGGGGTGGGGGGAGGGGTCTGTGGAAGACTGTGCGTCTGCACCTCTGCATCTCTCTGCGGGAGCGATGCGTCACGGCGGGGAGATATACATGTCCCTAAAACAAGAGGTGCCTTCCACCTCAGTATTCCAGACTCGCAGCACATTTGCAAATCTTGAGTGTCACCATACAGGTCAAACGCCAGTATGCAAACAACGGACCAAAGCACCCGCCGCGGGGATGCTGAGCAGCTGAGCGTGATCCGTTGACCGTTATTACCTAGGCAACCAGGCTTAGATTGTATCTCAACCGCCAATTTTCGCCAACTACTTCTACGCACGCGCAAGACCCCTTCCTCCCCGCCTCCCCCCTACGCCCTGCTTCCTCGGGACAAGTTTCTCATGAAGTTTGGCCTATGAGATGCTCCGTAGTAAGAGGTGTGGCAGAACGGGAGACAGAAAAGCAATTGGGATTGAGATTGGTTCGCACTTTACGTTCCGGACTTCAGTGGGCGTCGCGCGAAGGCTGGAGAGAGTGTGGCTGGCGGGTCTGGTAACCCGCGGAGCCGACATGCCTCGGTACGCGCAGCTGGTCATGGGCCCCGCAGGCAGCGGGAAGGTGAGGATTTGGGGAGAGTCGGAGCTCGTGGGAAGCGGGGGTTCGAATCCTGAGGGAGGGACCGCCGGGTGTGTGTGTTGGGGACCCTAGAGACACAGCGCAACTCGCTTCTGCTGTTTCACTCTATTGTTGTCTTAAAAACGGGGAGCAGTGGTAGTTATTAATATTTATTGGATAGTTATGCCCCCACCTCATTTATTTCCACAACCACTCTGTGAGATAGATCCTGTTATTGCCATCTTACAGAAAATGAGACACAGAAAGGTTAAGTTCTTTGCCCAGAATCGCACAACTAGTTAGTCAAGTTACGGCCGGAATTTGAATCCAGTTTTCTAACTCCAGAATCCGGCCCTGTCTCGCTCCCAGGAGATTAAAGTGGGATATCATTTAATTACTGCTTCTCAGAGCTTGGGACTTCTGGTATTTGAGGTGATTTTAGGTGGTACATGAACTCGCCATTAAGGAACACAAGAGGCTGGCGCAGTAATTCACGCCTGTAATCCCAGTGGTTTGGGAGGTGGAGGCGGGAGGATCGCTTGAGGCCAGGAGTTCAGGACCAGCCTGGGCAACATAGCGGGACCCTGTCTCTACAAAAGAATAAATAAATAATAAAGGGAGAAAAATTAGCCGGGCGTGGTGACGAGTGCCTGTAGTCCTGCGGAGGCTGAAGCAGAAGGATGAATCCTTTGAGCCCAGAAGTTGGAGGTTACAGTGAGCTATGATCGTGCCACTGCACTCCAGCCTAGGTGACCGAGTGAGACGCTGTATCCTAAAAAAAAAAAAAAAAAGAATCAGATTATATATTGAGAAAGTCGTTCCCTTTTCAATTCTCTTTCAGTTCTTCACATTCAGGTGAAATTGTGCATGATGCCAGTGTATCTTCACCACTTTTTTGATCTCCATGTCTTTTCAGAGAGCAGGTCTTAGACTCAGAGCTTTTAATAGCTACCTGTATTTAGCTAGAATTAAAATCATTTTAAAGTTTTATATAATTTTATAGTTACCCTGACATTATAATAAATATAACTAGTTTTCTATTTACAATTTAGATAATTTTTTTCTTGTAAACAAATATTAAGGGAATAATGTTGGGGGCATACAAATACAGTAGAAGTAGTGAAGATATTGATCAAATAACAATTGTGGGAAACAGTCTGGAGCTGTTGTGTAGCTTCAGTGTTTAACAAACACACTGTTCTAAGCCATTGACCTTATTCTGGGTACAGGACATGTACATGGACTAAGATATGGCCCTTACCTACCCAGAGCCTGTAGTCTGTTTGGGAAGACAGACAGGTGGCTTGTCAATTAAGACACAGTATGATGCATGGAGAGGGCATCCAGGCAAAGAACATTGTGTGTAAAGGCACTGAGGGGGAAAGCATGATGGAGGTTGTTTCTATATTCTAGATTAATTTTGGACTGATTGTGTTAGATCTTTCTATAAATTGTTGATGCCTACTATCAGAAACACTTATTGAGCATGTTCTTTATGGCAGGCACTGTTTTGGTCCCTGGGGATTGTGTAAGGAACAAAACACACATCAAATCCCTGCCCATGTGGAGCTTGTATTCAAAGATAATAAGTCAGTCAGTTAGAAATAATTACCAAGCATTTATTATGTACCAGGTACAGTGTTAGTACCTGGGCTTACAAAACTGAATAAGATACATCTCTTCCTTTAAACATGATGGAGAGGATGGGACAGTAGGACAGACAAGCAGCTTAGAGATTTTTTTTTTTTGAGACAGGGTCTCTCTCTTGTTGCTAGAGTCCAGTGGTGTTATCTTACCTCACTGCAACCTCAAACTCCTGGGTTCAAGCAATTCTCCTGCCCCAGCCTCCCGGGTAGTATCATGCTTGGCTAATTTTTCTATTTGTAGAGACAGGGTCTCTCTCTTGCTCAGGCTAATCTGGAACTCTGGCCTTAAATGATCCTCCCATCTTAGCCTCCCAATGTAGGATGAGCCACCATGCCTGGCCAAGCCTAGAGATTGTAACATAGTGTAGTAACAACTACATGAGAGATAATTTGTAAACTGATAGCCCACCTCCAGTCTGTTTATTTAAACTATGCAAGTCAAAGTCCACTTGCTCAGGGCTTCTTGGGTGTGGCTCTGGGTCAAAAATAAATAAATAAACTATACAAGTTCTAGTAGAGGCACTATCTGTTAGGTGCTGCACTATGTAAGCAGAAATCTTCCCTTCATTCATTCATTTATTTATTTTTTTAGAGACAAGATATGACTCTGTGGCCCAGGCTGGAGTGCAATGGCCCAGTCATAGCTAACTGTAATCTCCAACTCCTGGGCTCAAGTGATCCTCCCACTTCAGCCTCCCGAGTAGCTGAGACTACAGATATGCAGCACCATGCTTGGCTAATTTTTTTTTTTTTGCTTTTGTTTTGTTTTATTTATTTGTTTATCTATTCTTTTTTTTTTTCCCGGCATATTATGGGGGTACAGATTTTAAGCTTTCAATAAATGCCCTTCTCCCCATCCCCCCACAAGTCTGAGTTTCCAGCATGACCATCCCCCAGATGGTGCACATCTCACTCATTATGTATGTATATACCCGCCTCCCTCCCCCCCATGCTTGGCTAATTTTTAAATTTTTTTTTAAATGACCAAAATGTATTTATTTAATATACATCACAAGGGCTCAACCAGAGACTTAATTTAAAAAACAGAAACAAAACAATAACAACACAGCTCAAGATACAGAGTCCTATATGGAAATCTTGGAAAAAGACAGACCATCTAAGGACAAAAAACAAGACAACACAGGGAGAGTCCGTTAGCCCTAGTCAGGGCTCCTGGCTGGACACCTGCTTTGAGTATGTTTCCTGCAGGTACTTCTTAAAAGCTGTGGGGTTTTTCCAGAGCTCGGCAGCATGTGTGTTCAAAGGACTATCAATGTTGGGTTCTCTTAGCAGGCTCTGAATGGAAAGCAGGATGGTCCTGACGTCATACAGGGCAGACCACTTGTCCTTCAGGATGTCCAGGCAGATATTACCCTGGGTGTCCACATTGGGGCGGTAGCAGGGCGTGAGGAACTGCACCGTGGGTGCGTTGTAAGGGTAACCCCTGGGAAACTCTAGGGAGAGCTTATACCCCAGGTCTTCATATACTGTGCCGGCTGCTCCATGGATGGTCCCTACCCATTCGAAAAGGTTGTCTGATTCAGGAAAGGCAGAAATTCCTTTGTCACCAGACATCATGAGGGTCATCAGCTCCTGCTGTAACTTTTTGCCCACGGGGCCTCGGGTGGCTCCCCTGCTAGGCTTGGCTTCTTTACGGCCACTGGGTCCCGGTTTGGGGAGGCCATCCAGCGATACTAGCAAGAAGACAGGAACTCAGAAAACACGGCTGCAACTGCAGGCTAATTTTTAAATTTTTTGTAGAAACAGGGTCTCAATATATTACCTAGGCTGACCTAGAACTCCTAGCCTCAGGCAGTCCTCCTGCCTTGGCCTGGAAAAGTGCTGGGAGTACAGGCGTAAGCTACCATGCCTGGCCAATCTTTAAATACCACTTGTCACACATTAGAGCAGTAAGGAGCCTTAGTGCTCACAAAGGACACGCCAATTAGAGAAAAGAAAATTGATGGGCAGAGTGGAGAAGCAGCTTCCCCAGAGTTAACCATGCATCTAATCTGAGTCTGGATCTGCAGCCCAGTCAGGTCTCCTGACCTCCAGTGCCCTTACTTTTTCCCGTGTTTTCAGTCCGTATCTTGGTTGAAGAAGGTGTAGTTTTATCCTTAGTGGATACTGCCCCAAAAGGGGTGGAGAATCCTTGTGGGGATGTAGAAGGATAACACACCTGTTGCTCTAACCTCCCATGGCTTGTGACATTACAGAGCACCTATTGTGCCACCATGGTCCAGCACTGTGAAGCCCTCAATAGGTCGGTCCAAGTTGTAAACCTAGATCCAGCAGCAGAACACTTCAACTACCCCGTGATGGCTGGTAAGTCCCCATTAGAGCCTTCCCTCTCCTTCAGGAGCAATAAGGGTGGGAGAGGCAGTGAGTGCTGGCTGCTCAGTACAGAAGCTGAAAAATGAATTATTATAGTTTCATGGTGAGCAGCATGAGGCTGAGAGTCATTTGGTGACATGTGTTCATGGTGATGTGTGTAATAGTATCCTTTCTTGGTCTTTGATTTAAGACTTAAATGTGAGTGATCTCCTCCCTCAGCACATTCCCCTCCTGTCCCTTTTGTGCTTCAGCCTGCTGTAGTGAATCTGGCTTACTGCTGATCACTGTAAGTAAGCAAGCTGGTGTTTTTTAAAATTGTTTTAATTTGTTCATTCAAGTGTCTATTGAATACCTGTTTGATGCCAGACACCAGGGTTATATCAGGGAAACACCATCCCTGTCCTCATCACCCTTTTAGTGGGGATGATAAGCAATAAACAAAATGATAAACATGTTGCAGAATATGGGCAGGGCTGCAGACAAGCTGATGAGGAGGACCAACCAGGAGTGGTTGCTTCAGGTAGGGTGATCACAGATGGTGTCTCTGAGGAGGGGACTTTTGAGCCCAGACCTGAAAGGCGATAATGTGCTCATGACACTGAGGAAGGACCTTCCAAAATGAGGAACATCAAGGTTGATAAATATAGGTCAGGCGTGGCAGCTCACACCTGTAATCCTAGCACTCCGGAAGGCCGAGGAGGGCGGATCACTCAAGGTCAGGAGTTCGAAACCAGCCTGAGCAAGAGCGAGACCTCGTCTCTACTATAAATAGAAAGAAATTAATTGGCCAACTAAAAATATATATAGAAAAAATGAGCGGGGCATGGTGGCACATGCCTGTAGTTCCTGCTACTCAGGAGGCTGAGGCAGAAGGATTGCTTGAGCCCAGGAGTTTGAGGTTGCTGTGAGTTAAGCTGACGCCACGGCACTGTGTAAGGCAACAGAGTAAGACTGAATAAAAAAAAAAAAAAGTTGATAAATAGCCTAGAGGTGAGAAGGGGTTTGGTATGTTCCCGAAAAGGAAAGATGTCAGTGAGCTGAAGCGTGAGTGAGGGGAAGAAGTGGGTAGCAGTAGCAGGACATGAGAATTTTAGATTTTATCCTGTCAACAGTGGAATGCCACTAGAGCAGCGGTCCTCAAACTACCACATGCAGCCCGCCAAGGACATTTATCCAGCCCGCTGGGAGTTTTTGCTGCTGTTGCCTGTCTTGCTTAGCAGCTGACTCCTCCTGGGCCCACAGTGCATATGTGTGGAATGTGCACCGCATGCTCCAACAGCCCTCAAACGGTTTGAGGGAGAGTGAACTGGCCCCCTGTTTAAAAAGTTTGAGGACCCCTGCACTAGACAGTTTTAAGCAGAGGAGAGGGTTGCCATCTGATTTGTGTTTTTAAAGATAACTCAGGCTCTCAGGTGAAAAGTGGACTCTTGGGGGTCAAGCATTAAGCAAGGACCAGCAATGCACCAGGACTAGTTGTCCTGGTGTCCCCCATGACTAGGGTGGTTGTGGTGGAGATGTAAAGAAGCAGACACATTCGATTCATATTTTCCAAGTAGAATTAAGAGCATTTTGTGGGGGATGGAACCAAGACATTATAGGAAAGTGAGGAATCCAGGGTGACTCGTAGGTTTCTGGCTTGAGCTGTCCAATGCATGATATCATTTACCAAGGAGGGAGACAAGCCATGCAAGCTTTGGGTCTGTCTTTGCACTGACTAAGTTGGAGATGTCTGGTAGATATCTAAGAGGTAATTGGATATAATGGTCTGGAATTCAGACTTGAGGGCTGGCCTGGAGGTATAAATTCAAGGGTCAGCAGGATTCAGCACATAAGGCCACGGGACTGGATGAGATCACTTGGACAGGGGGCTGTGATTAGAGAAAAGGACCCAAGATTGAGCCTTAAAGTCCTCTGATCTTCAGAGGTCTGGTAGAGGAGGTGGAAACGGTTTGACAACTGGAGGGGACTGTGAGGGTAAGAGGAGGTTTAGTTTCAAGATTGGAGATGCTAACTGGGATGTGCTTGTATGCTGCAGAGAATAATCCAATAGAGAGAAACTGAAGATGCCAGAGAGAGTGAAAATAACTGCAGGAGTGACTGCCAGAATGAGGAGGGAGAGGCGATCCTGAAGAAGCAGGGGCTTTTGCCTTTGCTAGAAATGAGATGTTTCTTTCACTGAAACAGAAGAGAAGGTGGGCAGTAGGCATCATGTGGGAACATGGGAAATTCTCTTTCGTTGGCTTCTGAGTTCTGTTAATGATGTGTGGTGTGGTTGTCAACCGAGAGTGTCTGCAAGTGGATGTAGGGTTGGAGGAGGCAGATTGAAGGGAGAGGAGAAGATATGAAATGCTCATCTTCCTTGAGAAAAAGGCATTGAATTACTTTGGGATTGTTTGGTTGCAGCAAACAGAAAGCACTCTAGCTAGCTAGCTAGCTTTATTGATTGATTGATTGATTGATTGATTGAGACAGAGTCTCAGCCTAGCTCACAGCAACCTCAAACTCCTGGGCTCAAGCGATCCTTTTGCCTCAGCCTCCCAAGTAGCTGGGACTACAGGCATGTGCCACCATGCCTGGTTAATTTTTTATATATAGTTTTAGTTGGTCAATTAATTTCTTTCTATTTTTAGTAGAGATGGGGTCTCACTCTTGCTCGGGCTGTTCTCAAACTCCTGACCTTGAGCGATCTGCCTGCCTTGGCCTCCTGGAGTGCTAGGATTACAGGCGTGAGTCACCACGCATGGCCTACTAGCTAGTTTTAATAAAAAGATTTATTAGAAGGAATGAGGGGACCTCTCAAAAAAGCTAAAAACAAAACTTTATGAGAGGGCCAGGCGCTGTGGCTCACGCCTGTAATCCTAGCTCTTGGGAGGCCGAGGCGGGCGGATTGCTCAAGGTCAGGAGTTCAAAACCAGCCTGAGCAAGAGCGAGACCCCGTCTCTACTATAAATAGAAAGAAATTAATTGGCCAACTGATATATATATAAAAAAATTAGCCGGGCATGGTGGCGCATGCCTATAGTCCCAGCTACCCGGGAGGCTGAGGCAGAAGGATCACTTGAGCCCAGGAGTTTGAGGTTGCTGTGAGCTAGGCTGACGCCACGGCACTCACTCTAGCCTGGGCAACAAAAGTGAGACTCTGTCTCAAAAAATAAATAAATAAATAAATAAATTAAAAAAAACTTTATGAGAGACTAGAACCATAAACACAAAAACAGGAACCAAGGCCAGCTTTCTGTCTGCCTCTGTCTTTCCCCCCCCTTACTTACCAGTTTTCTTTGCTTTAGGTTGCATGTGACCCAGCAAGGTCCCTCCAACCCCTGGTTCATATCACTTTCTGGTCCAAGTGTTTTATTGACTGATGGGTGTTCTTGATTCATCCTTTTAGAAGACCAATTTTATTGTCCCAATTTGAGTCAGTTGTTTATTATTGGGGGAAGGAGTAGGAAGATGTCATCATTATAAATTTGTCTATGAATGAAGCTTAGTTATATGTGAACAGAGATTGTAGATTTGAGCACAAAAATAGATAAAAACCTAGGCCAGGCATTGTGGTTCACGCATGTAATCCCAGCATTTTGGGAGGCTGAGGCGGGAGGATCTTTTGAGGCCAGGAGTTCAAGAACACCCTGGGCAACATAGCAAGACCCTGTCTCTACAAAAAAATTTTTTAAATAGCCAGGCATGATGACTGTTTTTTAGTTAGGCACCTGAGTCCTAACTAACTACTCAGGAGGCTGAGGCAAGAGGATCACTTCATTCGAGCCCAGGAGTTCATGGCTGCAGTGAGCTATAATTGCACCACTGTGGGCAACAGAGTGAGACCTTGTCTTTAAGAAAATACAAATAAATAAATAAATACCTAAGGTAGAAAATTCTAAATATTGACTTCCAGAAATTGATAAGGAAACCACACATATATTATGAATAGAGTTTTTTAAGCCCTTCCTGTTCCTGATTTAGATATATAGTTCATACTCTTTGACCCCAAGATAAGGAAAGTGAGGCTCAGAGAGCTTAAGTAGCTTCTCTAGGATCATTGTGTTAAGAAATGATAGTTGGTTTTCTTTGGTTTTGCTTTACTTTTTTTGGAATAGGTAATACATATTCACATAGTTCAAAATGCAAAAGATATAAAAGAGTAAATATTCAGGAAAACATCTCCCTCCTAGCTCTGCGTCCCAGCAATCAGCTCTCCTTGCTAGAGGCAGCCAGCGTTACCTGTTTCTGGTGTGTCCTTCCATAGATAGTCTGTGCATATCAAATTCAATACATATGTGCATTAAGTGTACATAGTGAATTTTTATCTTTTTTTTTTTGTAGTACAAATGATGGCATTCTTACATAGTTCTGCACCTTGCATTTTCTGTTTAAGAGCATATCTGAGAGATTGTATTATATCAATATTTACAGAAATTCCCCCTTTTGTGGCTGCATAGTATTCCATTGTCTGGCTGTACAGTAATTTACTTGCTCAGTTCCCTATTAATAATTATTAGTCAGGATAACAATTTTCAAATTGACACTTACATTCTGGGCCCTCTGTCCCTTTCAGACATCCGAGAACTGATCGAGGTGGATGATGTGATGGAGGATGATTCTCTGAGGTTTGGTCCCAACGGAGGATTGGTATTTTGCATGGAGTACTTTGCCAATAATTTTGACTGGCTAGAGAACTGTCTTGGCCATGTAGAGGACGACTACATCCTTTTTGATTGTCCAGGTAAGTCAGTAATTTCAATGTGTCATTTTTCTTGAAGTCGTGATAATTGTCCTCAATGGGAGAAAGTGAAGTGAGCATTTGTATCTCTAAACTATACTGCAGTCAGGTACCAAGCTCTCATTTGTTGGTTCTAATTCATTTTTTTTTTCTTTT